TTACAAAGCATTACTAGAACTTGAGAAATTGAGACTAAGTGATAGTTGTTTTGTAGAGCTTCAGATTTTGACAGGAAGAGCAGAAAACTTCATGTCTTCTTGTAATTTCAAACCAGTTATGAAACGTTATCAGAATGCCTTGGAGCGTGCCAGGAGAATAAATCCTCCAGATAAGCCCCTGCTGTTACGTGTTCTTCAGTACATCGCTTGTCATCTCTACAACGAGGGAAAGCTTGGCGAGGCTAAGCCCTATGCTGACGAAATGGTGGAGATAAGCAGTTCAATGCCACATGAGTCTGATTGGTACATAAGAGGAATGACCGCCGCTCTTAGTATACTCAGCTATTTTGAGACGCAGAAGTCGGAAGACATGCTGCTGAATATCCTGAAAGAGAGATGGCCTCAGATACACAAGAGCGTGATTAACGGTCGCTTGGAAACAAATGCAACCACCATCGAGGATGGCAGCAATGACCACGCATGCGAAGTTTTAGATCATCTGTTTGATTGCATGAAAATTTCAATGATAACAAAACAAGGAGGCCGAGGTGGTTTCTCTAAAAAGAGAGGAAAAATTTTCTTGACAGTAGCACAAATCTCATTGGAAATTTGGAAGAAATGTCTCGGTGAGGTTCATCCACAACTAGTTGAAAATTATCGTGCTTTGAAAGAAGCATACGAGATCTTGGGAAATAGTGTGAATGCAAAGGAATGCTGTGAGTTGCTGAAGCAGTGCCTGACACGAACAACAATGCAAGCCAACCACGGCTTGCCGCCAATTGATACCAACATGTACTTTTCCAGAAGACTGAAAGATGATGGAAATAGATTGTTCAAGGCAGAGGATTATTTTGGCGCACATAAACATTATAGTCAAGGTTTAATTATATCACCAAACGATGCCAAGTTGCTGAGTAATAGGGCTGCAACAAATATAAAACTATCGGAGAGGCAATGCTCAGTGGAACATAGGCAGAAATACCTTCGAGAAGCCTTGCATGATTCACAGAATGCAATTTCAGCAGATCCCTCTTGGGAGAAAGGGTATTATTGGAAGGCTGTCTGCCTTGCTCATCTTGGCGAACGAGGTCCTTCACTTGCTGCAGCTGCTGTTGCTCAGAATCTGTTTCCGTCGAAATGCTCAAGTATTCCAGCTGTGGTTAATCGCTTTGGATCTTGTAACGTACAGATCGTGAACTCAGCGCAGGACCTTCAAACTGCAACTGGAAAAACAAACGTCCAGAATTTAGCGATTGTAATGAAAGAAGGGAGGTACCAGCTTCCAGAGCCCTTGGCTATTCCCGAAAATTGTGTTGTTGTTGGTCTTGGCGACGTCCAAGTTATGTGCTCTAAAGGTGTTCCATTAAAGATTGATCCAACCATTTACATGGAGAACATTGTACTTACGCCGACAGAGGAGTCCATTCAAAGACTTAGAGAAAAGGCAAAATTATGTCTCGAAGGTGGCCATATTAATACAGCTTTGGGACTGTATAAAGAAGCTCTGGTTTCATGTCCAAACCATCCAAATATTCTCACCAGCAGGGCTTTAGCCTACTTAAAATCTGCTCGACAACAACAATCTATTCCGTCCAAGAAGAGGTCTTTGTTACAACTTGCACTAAACGATGCAGATGCTGCCATCAAGGCCGACCCTTCCTGGCTGCTTGGTTACCACACCAAAGCAGTAGCCTTATCAGAACTCGACAGAAAGCCGGAAGCACTGGCCGCTGCCGCAGTGTTTAAACACCTAAGCCGAGGTCGGGATGTGTCGGAAGTTATTCAACACTATGGAGAGCTTCAAGTCCACGTTGTTGAAAGGTCGGACCAGCTGCCGTGTGTTTTTGAAAATGCCAAGAAACTGAGGGGGAAGGATCAGATCATCTTGATAAAAGAAGGGAAATATGTTTTAGAGAGAAGTATGGACATAACACAACAGTCTGTGATCATTGGTCACGGGAAAGTATCAATAGAATGCAGGACTGGACCACCTTTTCGCTTTCTGGTAGCATGTTATGTAGAAAATGTAGAAATGCCTGGGGACTGTGTCAGTAATCAGGAATTACATGACTGCAGATCGAATGAGACTGCTTCAGAAGTGATTCGTCTCGCCACACCCTCGGACAAGGACCACATAAGTGATGAATGTAAAGTGAACTAACCATCCTTCGATGCTTATTTTGTGTATTGTCATGCTGAGGACAAAAGACAATACTGCAATCAACAAGCTATTTCTGTCGCTGTAGTTTTAGAACACTTCAGTTAAGGAGAAAAGGTCGAAAACTTATATTCATGACGATAGTGTTTTCTTGTCCCCGAAAAAAGAACCAAAGACTTAATGAAACCAGAATTTTCTACTGAACGAAAGCAAGCACGAGTTAGGAGAGTGAGTGTTTGAAATGTCCATAACACTTAGACAAAAGGACCAATGATGAACAAGGGTGCACGTGAATACGCGTACACAGAGGCACAAATAAACTACTCAACGTTCTAAACGTGCAATTCTTTAGGTTATCTTTTCCGAGTTCGCTTTCGTTAAGGTTAAATTCGTTGTCATTAGGGCCAGTTAGTTCGTTCCTTTTTTCTCTTTCTCATCAAGTTACAATTATAAAGTTTAGTCTTTGTGAACAACACTTGCGTAGGAGAGCAACAGCAGAGGAAACGTTCCGTATCGAAATCTAATAAGCGATCGAATTAAGCCTAAGTTAAACAATGTTAGATTATGAATGTAACGATTAAACCTATCAAAAAGCGTTTAACATTTTAGGAGTTCAATTCGACTTAACAGTGAGATCGGTCACTATAAGTTATCGCCTGGGTGTCGGAGGATTTTGATTGCGTCAAGATAAGATCTACCTGACCCCCCTCAAGGTGCTGAAATATTCTTATGGCCCCCCTCCTCATTTGCAGTTAATTGGCGGTCAATACCCCCTCTGTTCCCTCTGAAAACCATCTGATCCCCCCTCCTCATTTACAGTTAATTGGCGGTCAATACCCCCGCTGTTCCCCCTGAAAACCATGTGTTTGCAGTTAATTGGCGGTCAATACCCCCGCTGTTCCCCCTGAAAACCATGTGATCCCCCCTCGTCATTTGCAGTTAACTGGCGGTCAATACCCCCTCTGTTTCCTCTGAAAACCATGTGATTCCCCCTCCTCATTTGCAGTTAATTGGCGGTCAATACCCCCTCTGTTCCCTCTGAAAACCATATGATCCCCCCTCGTCATTTACAGTTAATTGGTGTTCAATACCCCCGCTGTTCCCTCTGAAAACCATGTGATCCCCCCTCGTCATTTGCAGTTAATTGGCGATCAATACCCCCTCTGTTCCCTCTGGAAACCATATGATCCCCCCTCCTCATTTGCAGTTAATTGGCGGTCAATACCCCCTCTGTTCCCCCTGAAAACCATGTGATCCCCCCTCCTCATTTGCAGTTAATTGGCGGTCAATACCCCCTCTGTTCCCCCTGAAAACCATGTGAACCCCCCTCCTCATTTGCAGTTAATTGGCGATCAATACCCCCTCTGTTCCCTCTGAAAACCATATGATCCCCCCTCCTCATTTGCAGTTAATTGGCGGTCAATACCCCCTCTGTTCCCTCTGAAAACCATATGATCCCCCCTCCTCATTTGCAGTTAATTGGCGGTCAATACCCCCTCTGTTCCATCTGAAAACCATCTGATCCCCCCTCGTCATCTGCAGTTAATTGGCGGTCAATACCCCCTCTGTTCCATCTGAAAACCATGCGTTCCCCCCTCCTCATTTGCAGTTAATTGGCGGTCAATACCCCCTCTGTTCCCTCTGAAAACCATCTGATCCCCCCTCGTCATCTGCAGTTAATTGGCGGTCAATACCCCCTCTGTTCCCTCTGAAAACCTGTGTTCCCCCCTCCTCATTTGCAGTTAATTGGCGGTCAATACCCTCTCTGTTCTCCCTGAAAACCATGTGTTCCCTCCCCTCCTCATTTGCAGTTAATTGGCGGTCAATACCCCCTCTGATCCCCCTGAAAACCATGTGATCCCCCCTCCTCATTTGCAGTTAATTGGCAGTCAATACCCCCTCTGTTCCCTCCGAAAACCATGTGATCCCCCCAAGAAAAAATTATCCATTCCCTCCCCCACCCCCACATGTGTAAGATAATGACTGGTTCATAAGTTCGTTCCCAAACATGTATTTTCAAAAATATATATATATTAACATAATAAAATAAAATGAAACAATAAAAAGTTTCATAAATGAAATGAAAGGTGACGAACGTTTTGTGAAGCGCATAATTTTTGGGAGGGAAAAATAGTTTGGCTGCAGCATATCATTGAAAAAGAGTGCTTTTCTTTTAGTGACAAAGGTGAACAAGAAGCCAAACTCTAAAGTCAAACTTTAAAGAATAGAGAAGTAGGTTCTGGCACCGTAACCAGTCCATTTTGTTTCTTTAGCTGATATATTTTTTGTATGATTCTCAAAACTTTCGAAACCCCTGTTTTGAATTAAAACAGAACAGTTTTTCGAGCCCGTCAAGTTACCAGGACTTTCGAGAAACGGGTCCCTGGACCGCCTGTGTCGCTTAATTACGCTGTTGATTAGTATCGGAAATTATTTTGAATAAATGTTTTTATTGACCCTATAACTCCCAAGATCTCCTTAGTAATTGTCCTCACTGTCTGCCATATAGTTCTTGAGATGTTAGTTTGGAGAATTTGGTATTAGATCAACTGCTAATCCTCTTATTAATATATTTCCTTATTCTCATCACCTATCTGCTTGAAATTGTATAGATATTGTAAAGAGAAATTCTGTCTTAGTCACTCATGGGAGTTTTAGGGTTAAACATCCTTCCTATACGACAACTTTCAATGCCACAACTCTATTCGACCTTCACGCCAACGCAACTTCACTCCTACTCAGCTGGTTGTGTTGGAAACAAAGAAGAGATTGACGTCATGTTGCGGTAAAACAACATCACGTGACGAAATAAAAAAGATTCTTCCAAAGCTTTCTACGTCGAACCCTCGAGGTGACTTAAACGTCTTCCTCCTTTGTAGACTTGAAATTGAAGGACTGAATATAACTTTGAGTTGGTGTGAGCGTTCGAGTCATCGAAAGGCGCTAGAAGGTTGCTGAAAAGAATAGTCATAACTGCTTCCGTGCTCGATCGAAGACATCCATAATGGCGGACCCTAGACCTCCTCCTTATCAACCACCTCAGGCCGGTTATCCGCCTTCAGGGCCGCCAGCCTATCCACAACAGCCAGGTTACCCTCCACCACAAAGTTACCCACCACCTGGGCCAGGGTATGGGCCACCACCACAAGGGTATGGACCGCCACCTCAAGGCTACGGGCCGCCTCCGTCTGCTCAGACCACTCAAACTACTACAATCATACAGCAGCCGCAAACTGTGGTTGTGGGGAATGCGATGTATGGCGAAGCTCCTGTGTCGATGGTGTGCCCGTACTGCACTGCAACCATTGTTACTTCTGTGCAGTACACTCCTGGTACACTGGCTTGGCTCGCTTGTGGAGGACTGATCCTTGTCGGCTGTTGGGCTGGTTGTTGTTTGATTCCGTTCTGTATCGACAGCATGCAGGACGCCGTTCATTCCTGCCCCAATTGCCGTAGGCAGCTTGGAGTTTTCCGCCGAATGTAAACCGAAGATGGAGAGAGAAAGGGAAAGAGGAAGCAGGAAAGGGAAGGAAAGGTTGTACAACAATCATTTAACTGTAATTTTTTATAATTGAGTTTATCTCGTAATGATGATCACATCAAAAAAAAAAAATACAAAATACTAGTAGAGAAGCTTTATGTCTTTATTCCTGTGTAACAGTCCACGGTCCATTTCCTGTTATTTTGATCGTAGTTAGCACAGCCGTCTCCATGTCTGTCAAAGATTAATTGTCATATCCTTAACTCTGTTACGGTTTCCTATCATCAAAACAGAGAATGGTACTTACTACATGTAGCGATTTCTAACAGTTGCGAATGCTTTTCGCTGGGTTTCACAATTCGTGTTCCGGCTGATAGTAGAGAACAAACTTAAAGACTTTCATAATACCAATGAAAAGAAAATGTAGCCACTATGGCATTGTGCCTTGCTCGGCCGGTGTATATCCAAAATATTTTGAATCGTTCAAAAATGTTGACCGGAAGGTGAAGTTAAGAATAATAAAAGTTGTTATCAATGCTGCCGATGCACGATGCCATCGTAGGAAACATGTCAATGGATTTCTGGTATTTTCCATCAGCTTTGATACATGAGAGAAAATTGACTGAAAGTGAAAAGCATCCACGTCTTACAGTGCAATTGTAGGAAATTTAATCAATAAAATGTGTACAAATTTTGTTGAGTCGTTCTTGATTTTAAATGCCAATTATCTAAGATAAGATTTGTAAATGGTTTGCATGTACATGCATGCCAAGATGTTTGACATTCTCAGTAGCTCTAACTCTCACAACCTTTTAGATGCATGTGTTGCACACCAGATCTGTTGAACACATCAGAAAACTTGCACACAGACCTAGAATCCAAATTTGGTCATTATCTAAGTTGAAAATTAATCAGTGTCCATGCATTTGATAATCACAAATGCTTATCAGAATAAAGAAAATATCACAAGGTGAGCAAGGAGCAAATGTGTTTGTAGTATCAGTGTGGGAGAAATTTGGGTAACCAAAGGTGCAATTGGTGTGAATTTTGCATCTATTTGGTTGAGATGAAGGGCCAATGCTTGAAAAATCAGCTTTGAAACTCTTTCTGGTGGCTAATTTATATTATAAACTCAGATGTTAATACTTTAATTACCCTGTCTATTATACTCTCCCTCCAATACAGCACCACAGTTTCTTTGGAAACTTACCCCTTTTATTTATTTGGATGAGAAGGTTGTGCAGAATTTATATCAGCAAGTGAGAGATTGGTTATGAAGTATACTGTAGATCCAATTCAATCCTGATTGTTAGAAAATTTACCTTGAAGTGCCATACAAACAAGGTAATCTCAAAAAAGCTGTCATGAAACATCTTAAAGCAAATTCTTAGCCAATAAATGCTTTAATTAGCTGCACATATTCTCATTTTTGCAAGTTATGTTGTTATCTTCTTCAACACGAGGTGAAAATTATGCTCTGAGGAGATGTTTACACTGGCAGTTTTATACACTGAAAAGTGTATGTGCTTTATTTTTATTCTTTCTTAATCCTAAGAGCACCAGTGTATGTTACTTGCACTGTAGCTGGTCAATATCTCTTGGTGTTGGGAAGGAAATCAAGATATTCTCAAGAAAGAAATCATTTGCAAACTGAAATTCAAAATAACCTGGCTGTGGTTCAAAAAAGAAAGTTGAATTGGAGTTCTCAAAAGGAGATCTCTGGTTCAACTTAATTGCTGGGAAAGATCTTTGTAAGGAAGCAAAATTATAGATAACTATCTTGGCCAAATTGAATTTCAGAAATTTCTACTCTGGGATAAGTCTCACAACCACCAAGCCTATTGTGATGTGATCTCATTAACTTGATTTTGGAGAATTTTATTGATTTGGGAAAATTCTAGAAGAAAAATCTTAATTTTGAATAGAAAAATACATGCAAATCCTAATAATTACTGGTCAGCATTAAAATTTTATGACTGAATAACTGTTTGGTGGGGAATTTGCCTAAGTGCTTCTCTCTAAATACTAATTAAAAGTCCTTACTGCTTTAAAGATTCTGGTTGGGCCAAATTGGTCTGAAAATGGGCTCATGTTTCTAACATGATGATTTTCTAGGGAACCACAAGAGTGTGTAAAGTTATCTGTCTTTTGCACTTGAAATAAATCATAAATAATAAATGAAATACTCTTTGGGACAAGGTTGATAGAAATAAGCAAATATATCAGGCTTTGAGCAGAAAACTTAGAGGAAATTTTACCAATTCTTCACTTTGGCTCTTTTGCAAAGCCTACTTGCAATATAAAAAAGCCTGGATTTTTAGAGCTAGGCAGGATACCTCTATAAGGAATTCCAAGAGGTATCCCCTTGAGGGAAGATCTATCCTCTGTCTCTGTCTATGTCAGTCTCCTTCATCCTTGTAGAAAGAACAAGGTCCCATCTATTTTGTTTTGTTTTGAAGTGAACGGTGGTTTGGCAAGTCAGGAAAATTACTACAAATTTCCCAACCCTTCTCCCGTCAACTAAGAGCTCGAGGGATCTTGAGGGGTCCCTGACCGTGAGGGACATGGACAACATTGATAGCTGTTTTTTTGGCAGCTGTTTTGGTTATTTAGTGTCTTGTGAAGCCGCAGACCGTAACAATGGAGTCAGCAGTTTTCTCAACAGGAAACAAAATGGAGGTGATATCGGCGTTAAACGCCGAAGATTCGGCGAGAAATATAGCCATTTTCACTCCCAAAATGCGATAGAAATTTAAAGATGGAGAAATAAAACTTCGCGATAGACTATGTAGGTGTGGTTTGAGTCATCGTCTGAAATTTTTGAAGGTCGTAATTAAGTAAAGTGAGCAGGTTTGACAACATCAACATGGCCGCTCTGGCACGAAGAGAACCTCCACATTACACATACAAGAGGAAAGTTTACGTCGGAAAAACGAAAAATCCGAACGCGGGCATCGTAGGACAGATGATGTACTACTGTAAGTATATTCTAATATATGTTTCCTTCGATTACATGGGTTTGCTGGGTTAGGCCAAAAATTATAAAGTGCGGGGGGAAAATAAAGCAAAGCGCTAGCTACAGCTAGCCGGACTACTTAATCGAGACGAGCTGTGTTGGTTGGCGGTGTCACGGCATATATAATGATGACAAGATCTAACATGCATACTGCTGAAACTTCACCGACTCTCGGCCAACAGCTGGTCTATGCTTAAGTTAAAGAAAACTGTCAGCCAACTATTGGTTCAAATTGTGCAAGTAAATTCAATTGTGACCAGAAAACAACTGACAATCTATGTTTGGGAGCAGTTCTTTACATTAGCCTGTGTTATCCTCTCATGGTATGGCCACGAACTGGCTTAAAAAAATTGTCAGCAATCTTTCAGAAAATGGCCATTTTTGTGCTGACAGTTAACCAGCAGTTGGTAGACACAAATGACAGAGGGAAGACAACGTCAAGTCGCCCAAAAGTCATGTCGCCCAAGAGTCATTTCACCCGAAGTCATGTCACCCAAAGAAACAGATACTAAAAAGTTCAGAATTTCAGACTGTAAACAGGCAGTAACGTTGAGAAATTTTTATCACTAAAGCGCTCTTTGTTTCAACCAACAATGCTTCCCTCTGTTGTTAGAAACAAACAACGCTTTTAGAGTCATTACTCAAACATATTTCAATTCTGACCATACAATCGATTTCTGTGTAGTCAAAGTCTTCATGACATTTTGAGAAACAAGAAAGAGTTTCCCAACCTTATGAAATGTCCTTGAGTAAGAAACAAGTACATACCAAACGAACAAGGCTTCATTTTTTTTGTCATAAATGGAGAACACTTCCCTTTGTTGTTAGAAACGAACAACGCTTTTAGAATCTTCATGGTGTTGTTGGAAACGAAGAGTGCTATAGTGATAAAAAATTTCTCAGTGTAATTGCCTATTTACAGTCTGAAATTCTGATCTTTTTCGTATTTGTTTCTTCAAGTGACTTGACTTTTTTTTTTTCGGGCGACATTACTAAAATTTCAGGCAACATGACTTTGGGGGAGATGACTCTCAGGCAACTTGACCAGTTACCAAGACAACCACCCAACAAGTTGGCTGATTGACAACTGACAGTCACCCAGTTAGAACAGCTTTTTACTTTACCATAGTCCTAGCCTATCATTGTACATTAAAACAGAGAATATATGAACAATAACCTCCATTTGACAGAAAGGTTTGCATAGATGTTTTTTGACAATATCTGTTTTGGGATGTGAACAATTTTATAGAAAGCAAAGCTCAGGTAAAACTGTGAGCTTCAAGGGCAAACAGTCAAGTGACAGTGACAGTTATAGTGAGTAAAGAGTGCAATTTGTTTGTCTTTCATAAATGAATCATGAGTTGTGACCCTTGTCACACATTATTACATTATTTTGTACCACCTGGATCTTTCCTTCCATCTTTTCACAGTGATTTTATGTTGTATTTTAAGACGAAATTCAGGTTGAAATCATTTTGACTAGTTTGCTGTGTTTTTTCCTTTGCACAAAGCATAAGAGAAGTATTCCAAAACAAAGATAAACAGGAATCAACAAACATTGAATTTACAACTTAAATTCATAAGCTGAAAATATCACACATATGCACAGGTTGACATGATTGGTTTTATTTTAACTTGAGGGAAATATTTTTAGTTTTTGCATTTCCTTGAATAAGCCTCAACACTCTAATAAGCACCCTCCCCAAATATGCACCCACCACCCCCATAATGTCAAACAAACACTCCCTCTCCTCAGTAACTTTCTTAAACAGTAGGTATACACTTAATTTAAAACTTTGTATGCTTCATCTATGGTGGAATTGGTACAGAAGAATAATAAGAACCCCCCTTGAGCACCCCCTTAACCCTTCAACTCACAGGATCTGATTGTTAATTCTCCCCTCTAGCTGCTACAAATTTCCTTGTAAATTAGTTGCAAGAATTTGGTGTTAGATCAAGATAAAAACTTCTACCTGATACACTTGAGTACTCTCATTACCTGTTTGCTGGATAGTGGATGGATATTTTAGGAAGAAGTTACATGTGAATCACTTTTGGGAGTTAAAGGGTTATTGCCAAAATTTTAAATAAGTGCCTTGGAGCTTATCAGAGGAAATACGGTATCTTATGTAGCTGTTACAATTTCCTTTGCAGTGTCAGAGGCCCGTCTGCGAGGTAAGATTCGCAGGATAACAGATGCTTTAGATTCAGACCCAGTGGATGTGCCATCACTGAAAGACCTGAGCATCACAGCTGATGGCTACATTGCTGTAGACTTGAGGTGTAAAGTGTGGTCTAAACTACTCAATGTCAATACACTGGAGATTTCAAGAAACAAAGACAAGAAGATAGGTAAAAATATGCAAACCAAGTATATGTACAAATTCACCAAAACATTTTCTTGTAGCTCAGCTGATATTGCATCTAACTGTGAAATCAGATCTGTCTGACGTGTGAAATCTGGTAAGGGACTTAGCTTTTTCTTGTGTTTTGCCACTGAGACACTTCTGGGATTTTATTCTTTAAGTAAGATACAGCTACAGGAAGACAGGAGGTTCAACAAGATTCAGTATCTAAAAAATTTGCCATCTGTGCCAGGCTAAATAACCCCCTACTTTCTCTGAAATTGACAACATAAGAGTGAATATCAAACTGCCCAAGGCTGTGAACTTGGCAGT